AATGGCTTGATTGCTGCGGCCAGATTGCTGACTGGGGCTGGTCATCAGACATGATCCAAAGTGCTGGTTATAACCCGTAAAGCCCTACATGGCTTAGGTTCAAGCTATCTGAAGGACTGTATCCCCTCACATGAACCTGCCTGGGTTTTGAGAACCTTGAGGCTTTCTCTCTGTCCCACCACCCCCACAGGCACAGGAGAAGACCTTCTCAGTGGCTACTGCCAGACTTCGGAAGTCTCTCCCTGGAGAAGGTAGACTGGCTCCCTCCTTGTCCTTCTGCCGGCAGCTGAAGACCTCCTTGTTCCAGCAGGGTTTGGGGAACTGACGGTTTTTAATGAAAGGGATGGTGCTTTCCTGTTCTTATTGTAATGTTCTAAACAGATTTTATATAAGCATATAGTTTAAATTCTATTCATGTTTAATCGTTTTCAGTGATTTTTTTTCTAGGATTTTAGCGGTTCTTGTTTTATCTGTATAAAAGCTGCCTTGAGTCCTGTCAGGGAAAAAGGTGGGGTGTAGTAGTAGTACTAGTAGTAGTAGTAGTACTACTACTACTACTACTAGTAGTAGTAATAATAATAATAATAATAATAATAATAGCAGGAAACTAGAACTCGTATTAGCTAGAGCTGGCTATATGTGCCTTTCTAGGGTTGTCACACATGCTTTATGTCCTCTGCTTCCTTCTGTTGCAGAAATCAGTCTTAAAGGGCAGAGACAACTTTTGATTTTAAAAAGTATATGTCCTTGGATGTTGGGTCATTGTGGGCCTGGAGATGGAGTTAGGATAGACTAGGGGAAGCCTAACTGGGCAGAGACTGGCATCCCAGAAGACCATGACTTAGTCTGGATGGAACCTGGTGGTGGAACCCCATGGGACCATTTGATCAGGCGAGCTCAGAAGTCTTCTGGCTTTTCCGATCCCAGTGTATCCTGTGGGAGATTCTTCTGCCGCTGCGTCTTCTGAGTCATCAGGGACAGGGCAGTATATATATAGAATTAACAACAACAACAACAACAACAACAACAATCTGGACAGAAAGGGAGGTGGAGAAAGAAGATACCACAGGAGATTGTCAAAAGAAGAAGGCAAATGCGCATTAATAGTCTAACCAGGGTGGGGCAAAAAAGGACACGCACCCCAAGCACATGTGTGTGAAATGGGCATATAAAGATAATTGGTGGTCTGTCTTTTGCTGTTGATAGTACAGGAGATTTTACTGTTTATGGGCTAGTTGTTTTTAATTGAGTCATTATGGCTGGTTGCTGAAAGCAACAATAACCTTAGTTATTTATCAGTAAGCTGATAAAATAAAATGATTTTTTTCTGTTCCCAGTTTGACATAATTCAACATGTTTTTAAGGCGATAGATTAAAGAAAAAAGCCAGATATTGGAGCCATGCTCTGTGGCTTATTCACCTTCTTCTCACCTGCCAGTTCATGCATTCAGCCAGGACATGGAGGGGAGCAGCATCCCAAGGCCATGGCCCTAATCTCCTCATGGAGAAAGCTTTCTTGCATTCCTGGCAACATGTGGAGGTCAGTGGCAGGACAGGCAGCCTCAGCCCTCCTCCCTCCTTGCGTTGACGGACGTGGGGGCTCTGGACGGTGTGCCCAGGCCTACTGAGGCAGCGCTGTGGCTTCTCCTTGACTTTGTCGGTCAGCCACAACATGAAGGGGCATTAATATATGTGCCTCTTTGTATACAGGGAAAGGAGAGGTGGGAGCTGTTCTTTACATGGGAAAGCAACATTTGAGGAAAGGGAAGGTAAAGGCCCTCTGTGCCTTGGCTCCCTGTGCTCTCCCTCAGCCCTGCTCCAGTAGCAACGCTGAGCTAGGCTGTGAGAAAACTCTTGAGAAACAATAAAGTGCTGTGAGGTAAGATGCAGGGGGAGAGGCTTTTGCGTCCCTCTCCCATGCACTCTTTACCGTGTGCAGCTCTGCCTCCACAGTCGGAGGCAGCAGTGCTGCAGAGCATCAGTTGCTGGAAGCCATGGGGGCTGGAGAGTCCTCTTGCTTTCATGTCCTGCTTTTGGGTTTCCCACTGGAGCGTCTGATTGGCCACAGTGAGAAGAGGATGCTGGCTAGAGGAGCCGTTGACTTGATCCAGCAGACTCCTCTGGTCTTCATTGCTTTAGATGTGAACATGACAGGCATGTGGATAATATAAACGTAGCTGCTCTGTTCCAAATACCGTATTTCACCACGTAATGGTTGCATTTTTAATGCTGATTTTTCTTTTCAAAAAAAGGGGGGTGCAACTATTATGCAGTAAATGCATAGTTTAGCCTAGGTCTCTAACCCTGCCCCATGAGCCCCACTCGGAAAAGTGGGGCTTGCTGCACAAGCCCTGCCTCAGGCATGCACCCCTCTGTTACTGGGCACTGGGCACATCCATGAGCCCCAGCTGCCCGCCTCCGGGCAAGACCTTGCTGCTGCTGCATTTCTCCTCCATCGCCAGCTGTCGGGCAAGGCCTCCTCAGCCGCTGCCACCTTTGCTTCCCGCACAGGGCTGCCTCATCCTCCATGGGCTGAGGGCCGGCTCTGCCAAGAGGCATGTCCCACAGGCAGGCCCGGGAAGAGGCTGGGAAATGGCTGCAGCAGAACCATTTCATGTACAAAAGCGGGGAAATGCTGTTGAGCAAAACAAAACACTTCAGAGCAAAACAAAATGGCCCACTGACAAGGCATTTTCACCCCAGCGACTACCATGTGGTGAACGCTCTGGGGACTGATTTTAGGGTCCAAAAAGGGGAGGGGATGCGACTATTATGCGGTGGTGACCATTATATGGTGAAATATGTTAGTTTGGCCTCAAACCTCCAGGCAAACGCAGCAGTCATTCACTGAATACAGATAGCAGTGGAGGGAAAAGTGTGAGCGAGGTGTGTGGCTATCTATAACTTTTTTGCACAACAGCTTCTGAGCTGACTCACGGTAGAGTAGCAGAGGCAGTCTATCTGGCAGCGAGAACTGTGGAAACTGACTCATTTTTATGCTCAGAGGCTTGAGTCCCACTAACACGAGCTGTGATGCAACCGTGTTGGAGTATGTAGGTGTGGAAATATGGCATCACCCAGCATATCAACTCCACTCAAAGGAGTGGGTGACATACATAGAAACTTGTGTTTTGTTGGAGTTATGGGGTTAACCATAACCTCTTGAGACTCTAACAGGGCCCCAAGACCTGTTGGAGTTTTCTTAAGCAACCAAAGCTCCTTATCTTTGGGTCCAGTACACTTCCAAGTACCAGGCCCCTTCAGAGTATCACGCAGCTTCCAAGCGTGTAGGAGTTCCAGGTCTAGCATGGAGCGTAGAAATAAATTGCAGGAAACATTCAAATACAGACAGAATTCTTTACTGTTGTTCTTTAAGCATAACAGTTACAACAGGATACAACCATCTATCCTCCCTGATAGAGGTTTCGTTTAAACGGTTCCATCTAGCCCTAAAGCTGCCAGACCCGCTCTCACATCTTCACACCACAAGAGCAGCGTTCAGACTAAACATCTCTCTGTGTCCAGCACTGAAACAGATATGCAGGAACATTCTTCAGAGTGACCTTGCACCTGTTGTAAACAAACCAGCTTCAAGCGGCTTTTGGAAACCCTTGTTTCTGGGAATGAATGACTCTCATCCCCAACATGTTTATCACCTGCGCTTTCTACCAAACTCGATAATGAACTGCAGCCCAGTTGCAACCCTAGTCAACTAGACCCCAGTTGCCAAATTTGTGTGCAAAAGCATCTACAAAGAACCTCAAGAGTGCAATCCTGGGAGTAAGTGCCATGTGGACTTGCTTCTGAGTAAACATGCATAGATTCGGCACTGTAAGATTGCTGCAGTTCTGCTCTCTAGGTGTATTTTTAAAGCAGGGGGGAGGAACTATTACTTCTTTCCTTTTTTTAGTATATTTTTAAAATCATTCAGCTTCTGGAGTCTGGTATTTGCAACAACCCCTTTAGTAATTTAAGATGAAACCTACAATTGTTGTGAGGGAAGCAAAATGGGGGAAGCTGCAGAAATTTGTATAAATAATTTTTCCACATCTAGGCCCTCTAAGTTTTTTCTCTAAACTGTGACATCCTAGCAGTCCAGGTAGGGTCTACTGAGGGACACAGGGCTGCTGTACATAGTATAATATCATTTGGTGTGAGACACTTCATGTGATGAGGAGCCAGGAAACAGGCCATGTTTTGAGCAGTCATTCTATGATGAACAGTAGACTGACCTTCAGCTTACTGGTGACTCTCATCAGACTCCTTCCCTCTGCTTCTCTCTGTCCACCCTTACTTTATGCACTCAAATCTCCATATGGCCTCTTTTGTGCCCCATCCCATCCACCACAGCCATCATTCGGCTCCTTTCCGCTGTCTCCAGCTTCCTTTGAGGAAAAACACTCTTGGATGGAAAGGTAACCAGTAACCTTTGTTTAACCTATATTTTGTCCTTCATTCAAGTTCCAGTGTCTTTGATTCGGTTTTTGCAGCACTATTTGTGGGACAAATCATAATTTTGCCTGCTTTACTGTGGGATCTCTGCCTTATTTGGGGGTGCAGTGGCTGCTTTAACATGGAATATTGAGTGATGCTCCTCCTCTTGAGTTTGAGATTATGATACTGATTTGAAAAAAAGAATGCACAATCTTACTCCCCCCACCCCCGAAATATCAAGGTGAGGAGATGGCCTGGTTTGCTCCTGGGTATTTAAACAAAGGTTTGATTTGCAGAAGTCATCAGGTAAAGCTTTTCATAGCATGGCAGTAAACATTATCACCTACTAACGTCTGGATACCAAGCTGCTGTGAAACAGACAACTACAGGACTTGCATGCTTCAAAAGTTGGCAACCCTTGAGAGTGAGGCCCCTGTGAGTAATAAAAACTAGGAATTGGCCCTTTGCACACTGCAGATAAGTAGCAAATGCTTCATACAAGCATTTCCTCCCCCTTCCATGATTGCTGCCATAATTATCATTTTCTTCTGTGTTCCAATTTCCAGGGACAGATCCATGGATTTGTTGATGACTTTCACGTGGATTATAATTTAGCCTGTGGCGATCTGCTGTGGTCCGTAGGAGAACAGACCATCCACCTTTCTGCTGCTTTTCTGTTCAAGCTGAAATCCTAAGGTAGATTATTACTATGATCAAAGACTCAGACGAATGATTAACCTTAAATAAGGCACTGGACTAATTTCAGGCGTGTGGTCTACTGGAGGACAGAACTGGGGAGCTTTCACTTCACAAGTTTACACCACTGATTATTCTGTGATCAAAACCCCTTGGCTTGTGTGGATTCACACATCCAGTGGGCAGAACCAGAGGTTGGTGGATGCAGAAAGATCCAACAGCTTGGAAAAGTTTATTCTGAGAGAGATCTGTGATCATATAGCAGAAGTTTTGTCTTTTACATGCAGTGTTGGGGTCTCTGAGCCCCACAGGGCATGCAGTACTCTTTACATCACCATCATCGCCATCATCAATATTACTATTATAAATTTTACCACTCTGGGCGGCTCACAGCATACACCAGAACACACTCAAACATCAAATGTTAAAAACTTCCTGATACAGGTCTGCCTTTTGATGTCTTCTAAAAGTCAGATATTTGTTTATTTCCTTGACATCTGATGGGAGGTTGTTCCACAGGAGGTGCAACTACCGAGAAGACCTTCTGCCTGGTTCCTTGTAATCTTGCTTTTTCAGTGAGGGAGCCACCAGAAGACCCTTGGAGGAGGACCTTAGTGTCTAGGCTGGAGCGATGGGGTTGGAGATGGTTCTTCAGGTCTACTGGGCCGAGGCCTTTTAGGTCTTTAAAGGTCAGCACCAACACTTTGAATTGTGCTCAGAAACGCACTGGTTGTCAATGAAGATCCTTTAGGACTGGTGTTATATGGTCCCGGCGGCCACTCCCAGTCACATGTGAAGGGGATAACACACAAGTGCTAATCAACCCTGCCCCTAGATGACAATCCTGTCCACAAGCAGCTATTCCATGTGTAGACTTCTTCTTTGCAGATGACCACATGAACATGCATATGTTTAAATAAGGGCGAGGCAGCAAGCTTGCTACCAGGTCCAGGAGTGCCACCCTGCTCCCTAGTATCCCATGATAATCCATTCACACAAGCAATGAATGAAGGGGGACTATGCTGCATCCTGTAAATAGTCGAAGGCAGTTAGCAAGGCCATGTGGAGTCAGCATTCTTTGAGTGAATTAATGATGGAGAGCACAAAATCAGGTTGTGGTGACTATACTGAATTAATACAGAGTATTATGTGTGTAGCATTAATTGACTACAGGTACAGCCCAGTGCATACTTACGTGTGTGTGTGTGCGTGTGTGTGCGTGTGCGCGCGCGTGTGTGCATACAAAACAAATCAAACACACACCAATGATTGCTTTGTAAGGCTGCTATGTTCACTAACTTAAGGTAAGTCCTCTTGAAATTCAGTGGAAATTATTTTTGTGTAAGCACACACAGAAGCCATCTTGCAACATGAAGCCACCTGGCATGCGGGAAGAAGATGCCACTTAATCCATATGACTGTGGAGAAAAATCTGAAAAATTCTTTCCCCCTTCATTTCATTCTTCACCCTCCAAATTGCCAACAACAAAAAGATTGGGGGAGAGGTTTCTGTGGGAAGGAGGAAGAAAAAAATCTCCAAAGGTTATCCAAAATATTGCAGGTAATTTTTTTGATACCTACAGACTTTGTCAAATCCAGCTGCAAAGTTTGAGGGTTGGGCCTTGCAGAATTTTTAAAGTATAGAGTTCATAGGCAAATGTTTTTTAAACTTCAGTTTTTTGCCTGAGGTGTGAATGGAACTTGGGAAGCTTAATAAGAATCCCTTCCTCTGGCCAGTTTGTGCAATGATATATTGAGCTCATAGAGGGAACTCTCAAAAATTGCCTTATGCCAGCGGAAGTGGCTGGATTCCATTTTTCTGGTAGCTCTGATAAGGGGTGGATTTTCTCCCGGCTTCAGCTGTTCTCCCCGTGTTTCCTTTTCCCTTGGATTCCAGCTCATGGCCTAGCATGTTGTCATGAGGACTCCAAGCCAAGCACACCCTCAGGCAGCCCCTCTCAAGTCTTCTGCGACCAAATGTGTGTTTCTCTCGCCATGATATGTGGGTGTGTTTTAATCCTTCTCTAAATGCAGAGAGCAATACTTGATCAGCAAGGAGCTGCCTGTGTGGGACACCGGTCATCGTTTTGTTGTTAGTTTGTTATTGTTAGAGGTGTTGCTAAGGACTTAAAAGATCCAGGGCACAGGCCCATACACACAGATATGTGTAACATTTGCATAGGCTACTTTGTAAGTATAGGTGCACATTTAAATAAATTATGCTGCTCCTTAATTACTTCTCCCGGTGTAATATCCTACTGAGTAGCTCAGATCATACTGGTAGCATCTGGCTTCGCAGCATCTCTGTGCTGGAACCACTGGCTGTCTTGGACTGCCTTGAGAAGATGGGGGAGAGAAGGCATAAGAGAGAAAAGGGATGATTTCAGTCAAGTCAGTTCCCAACAGGACACTGTAGACACCCTGTTCGGGGCTCGTTCCCTATCCATTGTTGCCATTCTCAAGGTGATGAATCTGCAGCCCTGAACTCTCCTGTGTCCCCTGTCCCCTCTTCACGTTTAAACTGATCTCTTCCTTGGACACATTTATGCAGAAACTGACAGGGTTCTGTCCAGTCCACCCTTGGAAATGACATATTTGCAGCTTACTTAATGTTGTGCACCAAAAAATTTTCAGTTGGCACCTGGTGAAGGATGATGGGGAGCTTTGGGTAAAGGAGGAGAAAGCTGATGGAACAGGCTGTCTGGGGCAAGACAGGGAGGGAGCTCAACACTATTAGCGGAGTCCCAGGCAGTGGCAGGGCTTCCCCAAACAGGGCAGCCTGTCAGCTCAGCTACCACGGCTAGTAGGCTGCTCCGCATGCCATGGGTGGGAACTCTGCCACGAGTTTCCATTTCCAGGGGAACTGAATTTGGGCAGAGAGAGAGAAAATAGCAGCCCATTTGTTTCCTGTACAAACACATCATCGCTAGAAATTGAAACAAGAGGCAGAGTTTTGACACTGAACAGGAGTTCAGTAGCCTTGGCCTGCCCAGCGGCCACATAGCTGATGGTGGAGCAGTGCTACTTTCACACTTGACTCCTGCAACCGCTGCTGTCAGACCCATGGTGTGGTACATGGGCCCCTCAGGCCATCCCCTAATAATGGGGCCATTTCTCTCTGGACTGGAAGGATGATGGGTGTTGCTTTTGGTTTTCCAGTGGGACCCTTTCTGACACCTGGCATGGCTTGGCTGCCTCCAGTTCTCCAATGGCTCCACAAACTCTGCAACACAGGGACACTGTGCGATGTATTTCCTTATTTCCTGTCTGTTAGAAAGTGGAGTGGTAGAGCCAAAAGTGGAACCTAGGTTTGTTATCCAAAGGCTTTCTGGCCCTTGTGGCACAAAATAATGACAGAATTCAGAGAGTGGAGCCCTGCCAGGATTCTCCTTTGGTATACTGAAGTGTAAACGCCAAGCAGCTTCTCAGCAAGACATCCAGGGCTCACACAGTTTGGATGGCCTGGGAGGAGGATGGGGGCTTGGCTGTGGGCTTGGGATGAGCTTGACAAGCAACATAAGGCACATTAGTCCTGCTTCACCACAAAGAAGCTTTTATCAGTGAGATATTTCTGATTTGGACAGATCTATGTGTATTAACCGTCCCGGTCTAGATTATCAGCAGTTGTGCTTTTTGAAGAATGAGAGGTGGTTGTGACACTTGGAGCCTCTCCTGATATCTGTAGGTTTCAATCTGAACCATGATCTGTGGACTAGCAAAATGCTGAGAATTGTTGACTTATCCCTGTGCCTTGACCATAGAAGCTGTCGCTGTTACAACTAGCCAGGCTAGCAGCTGTTCCTAGGTGTAACTCTAGGACATGGAGAGGGGCACAGAGGAGTGCTAGTAATAATCATCAGGAAGATAGAAGAAAGCTCCAAGCCAAGCACAAGAAAGCACTGCCATAGAAGCTGACCATCAGTAGCCGTCGCTGTGTCTTGGCTGTGAGTTTGGCTTTAAGAGAGCAGCTCTGGTTCACTCTTCAGTTAGAAACATAGAGGGGAAATCCAAACAAACCTCAGCCATCAGTCATTTGTTAAGAGCAAGAGCAGAGGGCGCCAGCAGCACCAGCAATTGGCATAGACAAGCGGTGGGCGAGTGAGCTGCGTGGAGGAAGCATCTGTGGAAGCCAGCTTGCCAAGTCACCATTATCTGCATGATCACAGGACCCACACAGGTGCCAAGCAGCCTCAGAGGTTTGCTCAAATCCTCCCTCTCCCGCCTCACAACCTGTTTTATGGCATTCTGAGTGTCTGATGGGTAGAAGGAACAGGGTGGGTGGGAGGAGACATACGCCTGTCATTTGTCCACAGGGCAAATGAAATCTATGAAGTGGCCATTTTAATTTTCATTATCTCGGTAGCCACTCTGCCTTTGGACACCAGTTCTCCAAGTGGCTAGAGAGATAAAATGTTAAGAGAGTTTCTGCAAATAGACTTAAATAGGATGTGCTTGCGTAATTAAATCAGTAACAAGCCTGAGCATCTAGGAGTGGGTCCCTTGCATCAAAAAGTATGTCACATGCAGCTTTTGCTCAGTGTATTCCTACTTAAGATAGAGCCCATGAAAGGCTCTCTGCTGTCCTGAGAGCAGCTAGGACTGAACCACTGTTGTCATGGGCATGTATGATTGCCTTAATTGCACATCTGGCTCCCAGTTCGAAGTCCAGGCAGGAGAAGAAATTAATGCAAGGCTGAATAAGGTTTGCACAGCCTCCCCCTCCAATGGATCCAGTACTACTCTCAAACCTACTTTTATGACTGTTGCTTTTGTTTCAAGAGTGGAAACACCCAGATATTTGTAGATCCCTATTTGGACTGCTGTTTTGTATGCAATGAGCTTGTACCCGTCAGTGCAAGAGTACTGTTTTATGCTTTTTTGGATCACACTTCTGCTTGTTTTGTCTTTCTAAGTGGGGTGTATTGCAAACAGACAGCTGCTTTATACTGAGTCAGGCCACAGGTCCAGCTAGCTCAGTATTGGCTACATGAAGTCTGGCTAACCTTTGACCCTCCAGGTGTTGGTGGACTACAACTCCCATTATCGCTGACTCTGGAGCCGTGGGAGCTGGAGTCCAAGAACATTAGGTGAGCCAAGCCTGGACTACACTGACTAGTAGCGTCTCTTTCCCAGCCTTGTCTGGAGCTGCCAGGAATTAATATTGGGTCCTTTTGGTGCAAATCATGTGCTCTTTGACTGAACCTTTTCCCTTTGGCTTTTTTTAGTTTATATTTTATACTGTGGTTTTTTTTAATGTTGTAAGCCATCTGGGATAGCTTAGGAGAAAGATATATAAATATATTAAATACATTAGGTCCATTAATTTCAATGAGTACTTTTGAGTAAAATGTTGTTGTATACCATCCATAGGAAGGTATCCTTAAGCTACCTGTAGAAGTGGCACAATCCCATCCAGGATACCTTCAGGTCCAATGGTTTGGCAGTGGTTGTAGTCTTCCATATGGTTGTGTTCATGGGCGTGATGAGGACGGAGCTGACTGGGTGAAAAACAACACAGTGCAATTGTTTCAGCAGACACCTAACTCTTCGCTAATTCACTCTTCCCTTTTTAACTTTCAGAGGCACCTGTTGTATATGAAACTGCAGGACGTGTTGTAATGGCCTTGGAAGCGCACTGAAGACGGACCTTGCCCCCTCCCCGCCATCATTTGTGATTGGTACTGTTAGTATTGTGGCGGTGCGTTGTTTTCCACCGTGAGTGGGCTTGCTGCTTTATCTGGTCTCCTCTTTGTTAAGAAAAAAGATGTCCGAAACTGGCTCTCATCAAGACGCCAGTTCCAAGCCAGGCCTATTGGAAAAAAACAAGAACCCAGATGACTCTCAGCCGTCAGTCAATTCAGAAAGGAGGAACAAAAGTGGGATAATAAGCGAACCTTTGAACAAAAGTCTTAAGAAGTCTCGACCACTCTCCCACTACTCCACTTTTGGTAGCACCAGCTCATTAAGTGAACATTCTGAGAAAGGTGCCCCCGTCGCCAACGGCAATGAAGCAACTATGGATAAAAGCAATTCTACCTCAAAGCACAAAAGCATCTCCGACATGCTGAGCAAATCAGATATTTCTGCAGAAGGACAGAGCATCTTGCAACAGTTTGCTCAGTCGACAGAGCTGCTCAAAAGAGTAGTCCAGGAGCACATTCCCCTGCCTAATGACCACGGGACGGGCATCTCAGACATGGAAGCCGTCTCGGCTGCAGAGACAATGAACAGCCCATCTGATTTTCCTTACCTGGGGGCTTTTCCTATCAACCCTGGCCTTTTCATTATGACCCCTGCTGGCGTATTTCTGGCAGAGAGCGCACTCCATATGGCTGGCTTAGCAGAGTACCCAATGCAGAACGAATTGGCATCTGCCATCAATTCAGGGAAAAAGAAACGGAAACGGTGTGGCATGTGTCCTCCTTGCAGAAGACGGATAAATTGCGAGCAGTGCAGCAGTTGTAGGAACCGTAAAACTGGGCACCAGATTTGCAAATTCCGAAAATGTGAGGAACTTAAAAAGAAGCCTTCTGCTGCACTGGAGGTAATTGGGTTTGGTCAGGCAGCTTAATAGTTCCCCCTCAGCTGCTCTGTGTGGAACCACAAAGCCAATTTATGTGGACTGGATGTGGAAATGTCAGGGGTTTGAATCTCTTAGCAGTTCTTCCCTTTTATATTCCACTTGGCTTCAGTCTTCTCACATGCAGACCATTATTATTAGTAATTGGGAAAGGAACTCTCAGATTGGCCCTCATTCCTGAGATGATATGAGTGGCTCTCTGGGGCCTTCTGTAGACTCCTTACAAATAGCTGATGGTGCTCAATCTGTTTCTGGATTCCATTATCTCAGACTGCATCTGAGATCTCACAGGACTTAAAACACTCCTCCACGGGGGGGAAATAATAATAATAATAATCCCCGACATTGAAACTAGCATGACAGTGTGGGGGTTGTTCTAGAACCCTGACATGCTGCTTTACATGTAATTATAATAATGTACATAATGCTTTTGATTGTTCAAAGTGTTTCCATTTCTGTTATCTTCTCACCAGTGTTTTTTCCTTAAGAAAATAGGTGCCGGTATGCCCCATGCCCAGCCCACCCTCGCTCGCTCGCTCCCCCCCCCTTGCCCCCTCCTCCTGCTCCTCCATTGCTGCTGCTTCCTCCCGGAGATGCTTCGGCGCGACCCCTTATGATCGACAAAGCGCCTTCTGGGAAGGTGCCTGAGCATCGTAAAAGTCGCGCCAGTCCATCAGGCACCTTCTGGGAAGGTGATCATAAGGGTTGCGCCAAAGTGCCTCTTCTCTGGCATGCCCTTTTTACAGTCATCGGGCACCTTCACAGGAAGTAGCAAGGGGGGGGCAAGCAACTATAAGTAGATGAGCATTATTGGCTCCATATTTCAAATGGGAGGCTGATTCAGAAATGCGTAGTGGCTTGCCTAAGTGGTAGCTTGGCTGAATAACAGGGACTTCCTGATTTGTAGCTCTGGCTCCTTCACCACAACACAGCACTAGTTCTCATTTTGTACAAACGGGTGTTCCTCTGCCCCACTTCAGTAAGGAAGCATAGACGTCAGAAGTGGTACAGTTTGGACAAAGATTTATCACTTCAGCTGCTGCTTGTGAGAGCTAGGCCTTAATGCCAAAGTCTTTTATGCCATGGGGAGAGAACATGTCTCCTCTTCTTAACCATTGGCCAATCACCAATTTACAGCAGTTTCTTCTAGCAGGTGAACTTCATTTCAAAATGTTCTAATCACATTTCTAAGCTAATACTCTGAGTGAAGTCAAGACGTTGTGGCCTCTCCAAAACCTCTACTGACCAATTACAAACTCTGACTTTATAGGTTTAGTATATGAAGCTTCTGAGTACAGACCCACCTACTTTGACTACTGGTCACTTTTTAAGGTCTTGGGCAGATTTCTTTCCCAGCCCAACTACCAACTGCAAAATGCCAAGTTGAGTGGGTTTTTATTTCCTGGAAGTCCCTTTGGGAGGGGTGAGGTGTATCTTGTCACAGACGTTGGGCTGTCTTGACTTAGCCTAGCAGCTGTGATTCTTGAAAACTTTATTTTATTGGTGCAAACACTTCTTGTCAGCGGGATGTGACTTAGTAAAGATTACAGATCTCTGCCTAGCACCTCTCAGTCTTGTAAGTTGAAAGGGGGTTCTTGGTAAAAACAAAGCAAAACACAGTGAAGTAACATGACAGGCATGCAATGGAAGATGGCAAATGAAAGAACAGGACGAGTAATCAGATGCATATGAAATGCAAGCAGATCAAGGTAAGGATGCAACGCTGTCAGTAAAGAAAATTATCTTAGGAAAGTTTAGCGCATCTTAAGATGCAGAATAAATTTTACTTTGCTAATCGGTCATTTTCCCAGATGTGGAAAGGTTTGGGGCTGTTCATTACTCGCACTAGAGCAGGCTGGGGGACTGGGGATTTGAGGCAAGGACCCCAAATCCCAAAGCTGCCAACTCTCTGCAAGCCACATTGACAAGTGGGCCGGGCTGCCCACCTGACATATGACATTATGTGTGGATAGCATTCAGTGCCACATGCAAGCAGCGCTGAATGCAAGCCAGGCAAGGTAGTGAAGCAGTAGCCTTTGGGCAGAACTACATGTTACATGCAGATGTGTGCACCAAACCACGATGTTTGCTGCTTCAATAGGGGGGAAAGCAGGGGCTGTTGAGAAGCTTGGTACTGGTAATCCAGAAGGGAGAAGCAGTGGGAAGAGATGCTTAACCCTTCTGATACTTCTTGTTTTCCTTCTGAAACACTCATCACCTCTTCCATGGGTGCTTGCCCACTTCTGTGGGGTTCCTCGTGCCTGTTTGCAAAATGTAAACACATATTTGGAACCTGATGGGAGAAAAAGCAGCAGAGCCGGGGAGAGGACTTGCTAGAGAAATGTAGCATGCATTGGAAAGGGTTAAGCATCTCTGCTCAAAATTGCTCCCTGCCAAAATGCTTTTTGATAGAAGCATCAGCCATCATTATTCATATGTAACATGTAGCTCTGCCATTCTCTTTCATATAAACAATGCAGTCTCGATTGAGAATTGCTTGAGGTGATGGATCAATTCTATTGACACGCCTTGCTATTCCTGAGTTGCAAAGTTGTCAGGTCACGGCTGAAAGAAGGATCCTGTAGCTTTGAAAATTAGGTTCTGTGGCTGATGCAGAGCTGATCTCCCCCATCACCAAGCAGTGCTCAAGAAGAACGGAGGAAGCTGAAGAGATTGACCCACTTGGTTTGAGCCCCATATGATTGCAAGCACAAACAGAAAATATGCACTGCTGACATTTCGGCCTAAGCTAGCTAGCTTTTATTGAATGGAGGGAAGCAAAGTATTGTGTCTCCTTTACCATTTGACCTCCCCTTTGTTCCTTATTTGGTGGTGAAGGGGGAGAGAGAAGGCATGTAGCATCCATGTTTGTACAACTCTTTTCTGCTGGTCTTTGAAAGGTACAGGTCCCTTCTCCAGGTTGCAACCCTTTCTTGTTAGGCAGCTGGCTAATTTTGGAAAAGCTTCAATTTCTGGGGTGGGGTGGGGGAACCTACCCCTTCAATTCCATTTAATGTAGATATTGGGCAGTGGGGCAATGAGTTTTTTTCCTGGTTATGCTGCTTAAGTTATTTTCTCTGAAGTTAGTGAAGGCTATAGGCATCACACTCTCAATGAAGACAGCAATACATTGCACAGAGAATGTAATAACTTGCTTTCTTATTAGCCACATTTAACGTTTTTCAATTAGCATCAGATTTGAATGCATACTTAGGGTGGGTGGGGGGGCCAGTCTGGGTGGTGGTGATATGAGGGGCTGGTATCTTTCCCAAACTGCCATATTGCTAAATTATATTCCTGTTCTAATTTGCTGAGTCAGTGATCTGGAAAAGGGGAAAGGTCCATCTCTCCTAAAGAGACCCAAAGTGGGAAAACGGATTCCACAGTGCATATTAGGCTGCTATGTTTTCCCTCATTCTCTTTGCATTATGGGGAAGTTAAATGACAGCGAACCTGTGGAAGGCTTTATAGCTTGGTTTATTTATTTTTTTCACTTGCTGACTGGGAAATGGAATAAATGAAACCGCTTTCATATTATATGATGGGACTTGCTCCATTTACAGCAAGTCTACTCTAATTTTGGGAGAGTTAGGACTAGCATCTCCCAAGCAGTGGCAGGCGCATTCTGAGCTACAATTAATTGCTACTGGTTTATATGAGATAAATGAAAATGATGTAAGGAGAAACCTGCTCAGTCTTTGATATCTCTAATGCTGCAATCCTGTGTACACTTTCCTGGGAGCAAGCCCAGTGAACACAGTGGGACTGACATTGGAGAGGGCATGCATAGGAGATAGGAGGCTGCATAAGTAGATAGAAACTGCTTTATATATATATTAATGGTTAGTGTGAATAGGAAATAAAATGTTTGACTTTCATTTGAAGTTATTTTTGTCAGAATGCTTTTTTTTAAAAAGGGGGGGAGAAAGAGGGGGTGTCCCGCAGTAATTTCAGTTGTCCTGTTCGATAATGGAACATGGTGCATAGGCCAGTTGGATGCTGAGAAAGATACCATACAGATAGGTGGCAAAGCAGACTTGCATTTAAGAATCTCCTGCAACATAGTTTTGTAAACTTCTTCAAAGGCATTGTTGATCATCTCTGTACTTCCATCGATTCATAAAATTCTAGCATTGGAAGGGAACCCGAGGGTCATCTAGTCCAATCCTCTGCAATGCAGGGCTCTTTTGCCCAATGTGGGGCTCAAACCCAGGACCCTGAGATTAAGAGTCACATGCTCTACCCACTGAGCCATGCTGGGGTCGCTTATCCCTTCTGTCTCTTGCACTTCCCTTGAGGAGCTCATCTTGGTGCAGGTGGTCCCCCTTATTCTCTTAGCAACCCTGTGATGTAGTTTGGCCTGTGTGGTAGCAAGCAACCTGTACAGTCGCAGCCTGATCTCGCTGGCCGTCTCACTCAACACCGAGAGCTGCATTTGCCACACGAATCCTGGATCACTAACAAGTAACATATGTTTTAGCCAGACCAATTTAACTGGAAAGTTTGTTCTATCTAAAATGCCTTGCACAGCCCTCTTCTCCTTTCTATAATAGTCCACAGGTCTGTGAACAAAGGCATAGTAGAATTGTGTCTAGACTCCTTTCAGTATTAATAATGTCATCTGTGCAGGATTATGTAATCTGCAGTCACACACAGCCCACTGCAGGATTTCCACCCTGCTTACTTAACATGAGTGACAAACACATCCTGATGTCTCACCATCTTTCAGACGTTGTCACCTTAGCAGACTTCCTGAGTCCCACACAACTTGTTATCTTACAGGCAGCAAAAATATTCTTCTCCCACTCAAGCTGGTGAAATTCCCCACCGCTGAACAATTTGCCCTGGAGCAATATCAGCCATTGGTTTTCTGCCATCCTTGGCTCCTTTGGGTGGAAGGAAGGGATAGAAATTAAATAACTAAAATTATGTAATGTCTCCAATTCCTGCTTCCCAGTCCCCAAAACACAAGCCCTCCCTGCTAGATCAGACCAACGTCCATCTAACCCAGCAGTCTGTTTTGAATAAGATGCAGGCCAATGCCTTTGAAATACCACAAGCAGGGCATCAAAGGTACTCAAAGCATCTGTTAACTTGAGAGATGCACTGCAGTTGTATGTGGAGGCTATCATTTATGCCTATTCATGGATGGCTATTAGCCATTTTCCAAGTAAATATTCTGTTTCAAAAGCCAGCTTGCAGGAATGTTGCATGTTTCTGTACAGATCATTGATGTTAGTATGATTAAAAGGTAAAGGGACCCCTGACCGTTAAGTCCAGCCGCAGACAGCTTTGGGGTTGCGGCGCTCATCTCGCTTTACTGGCCGAGGGAGCCAGTGTTTGTCCACAGAGAGTTTTTCCGGGTCATGTGGCCAGCATGACTAAGCTGCTTCCGGCGAAACCAGAGCAGCACACGGAAACACCGTTTACCTTCCTGCCGGAGTGGTACCTATTTATCTATTTGCACTTTTTTGTGTGCTTTTGAACTGCTAGGTTGGCAGGAGCAGGGACCTGTTGCGGGGATTCGAACCTCTGACCTTCCAATCAGCTAGCCCAAGGCTTAGTGGTTTAGCTAGCACAATGCAAAAAGATTAAAAGTGTGCTGCCCTGAGAGTTAAATTTGGCATTTGCATCTGTATTCATGCTGAAGAAGCCTAGCAGGTACTGTTCCACCTGCCTCCTTTTCTAATCCTGGAGGCTTGGGCTTTGGTGATTGTTCCGATTTCCACAGCTCTCCAGCCCCCTCCCCCCATTAATATGCAAGGGTGGTTTAGGGCCAGGCTCATGGGCAGCAAGAAGGAAATCGGCACTGCTCTGCCAGGAGACATGGGAACAGCTGCCCGGCCCATGTGCATCTGACATCCGGAACAGCAGAAGGGGAAGTCAGCTGTGCTGCATCTGGAACACTCAGGACAAATAGAACAGTGGCAGAGGACCTGCTCCAGGTCATTTTAAATATCCTTTCAGAAATTGCCTTCTCCAAGACCTGCTTTGCTGTTTTCTCATGGACTCTCCAAATTTGTGAGGCAAGCCTGTGAAGGTTAAAAAGTGATTATTTCCCAGTACTCACTCTCTCTCTCTCTCTCCACTCCTCCTCTCTCTCTCTCTCTCTCTCTCTCTGTGTGTGTGTGTGTGTGTGTGTGTTTCAGTGACAGGTCAGGCTAACCCTGCAGGCACGGGAAACCTGGCTCATTGTCAAAGAGTTGTGTTCCAACAGCAAACTGAACCTAAGAGCTCCTCACAGCAGGAAATGCTCCTGAACAACTCATAATGGCTCATCTTAGTGAGAAATAAGCATCCTTTTCTGTCCCTTCAGGTTCATCAGCTGGTAAATGCCAACAACTTGCAGGATTCGAGTAGCAACCATTGTGGGGCAAAGCTGTTGATTCGGAATCAGAATCATTCATAAATATCACTTGTGTTTCTCTGATGAGGGGCACCTTTAATAAGTGCAACCAAAATGTTGGCTTTTGGACAATCGGTTTCCTAAGAGGAATGTTACGGTTTAGGCTGTGACCCAGAACATGTTTACTTAGGAGTTTGGTCCCAGATGAATTCAGCAGAAATGACTTCCAAGTACAGATGCATAAGACCAGGCCACAAGTTTATCAGGCCCAAGCTAGCTGTTAGGAAATATCTGCATGTTTTATTGCATGGATCAATGATTGATTCCCTGTTGCTTTGGCAGTCTTTCAGGACAGAGACAAACCTAATGTGTGGCAGAAATGTTTCCAATGGCACATTTGCTACACTTCTTTTCAGGACAGCAAAAGCTTGTTCAGACCATTTCCACTACACTTGCCCTGCCTGCCTCCATCATTTTTTATTCTTTGAAATGACACATAAAGGCAGTGCCCACTGCTCCAAGTGGCAATTCTCGGATACTCCATTAATGGCATGTGCAAGTGGTATCTTTTACCACTTCAAGAACATTCATAAAACACATATTTTAAAGGTGTTACTAAAACAGTTGCTATCTTTTGAAATAATAAAGACAGAGGAATGAATAAAATGCCACTTCCAAAACTATGTATCGGTTTTGGAAGTGGTATTTTATTCATTCCTCTGTCTTTATTATTTCAAAAGATAGTGTTTTTTATAAAGTAGAAAAGCAAGATGGCGATGATTAAAAGGGAAGGGAAGCCCAGTTGGTATTTTCTTTAGCATTTTTGTATGATAAATTATTTTATTGCAAGTCGCTCTGGACTAAGACATTCTGAGTTCTACTGCCTAGTCTACATGACCTTTTTAGTCAGAGGACAGTGAAGGACTACCTAATCTTCCACCCAGCAATATTAAGAAGACCTGAAGCAGCAATATGAAGCCTTAAGGAGGGATGGGTAAATCCTTCCCTTCGCCATTAGTCAGGGAGGAAATGGTGCTGTGTTTAAAAAGTCAACAATGAGTCCCTTTATGTTATGGCTTTTAAAGTTCTCAGGCTGTTAAAAACCATCACATGGCTGGACAGGTTGGTGGCAATTTCCTCGGCTTTCACCTCCTTTGTGTGTGAAAAACAAGCGAGCCAATAAAATACTAAATTGTGTTGCCAGCCTTGGATTGGGAAGGAGAGCTTCTTCCCACACAATGCCATTCCTAGCCTATCAAAGTTTCTGTATAGCTCTAGCCTCCATAGTTTTATACCCAGAGACATAAAATGGACACATCAAAATAACATGCCAAATGGCTGGAAGGTAAATATCTCAATAACAGAAAATACTACAGTGCTCCTGGAAGATACTCATGCTTTGGCCAGAGAGAAGGAATTATACCATTGTGAAACAGCCACAGATAATGCCTCCTCCCTCCCCACCCCATCTTTGAGATGCGTCTTGAGTAACCAATGAAACCAAACCTCAACAACAGCAACCAAGCACATTCCTGGTGGCTTTGGTAATTAAATGAGCAAAGCTTTTCATTCCAGCAGACCCCATTCTCCTGCTAGCTTTGTTCAAGAACTTTTTCTTTCTTTCTTTCTTTCTTTCTTTCTTTCTTTCTTTCTTTCTTTCTTTCTTTCTTTCTTTCTTTCTTTCCCTCCCTCCCTCCCTCCCTCCCTCCCTCCCTCCCTCCCTCCCTCCTGGCTTGCTTACAGTAGCAGGAAAGGTTGCACGCCACAGCATGGTGAAGTCGATTTTAAAAAGATAGGTAGTCCTGTCCTACCACTCTTCCTTCCAGATTGTGAAGTTGCAACTCTTTATTGCCCCACCTTGGGGGAGATTAATGTGCATCCCTGAAGCTCTCTGTTAATAGGGGTAAGGATATGTATGCATGTGACTGACAAAGTAACAAGCACAATAAACATGCACAAGTATCTCCTGAGCATGTAACTGCCAGCCATGAGTCCCTTCATCACAATATGCATTTGCTGTGCTATTGGAATGGTCAGTAGGGAATTGTAGTTCATTCTTAGTGGACTCTGCATGATATGAGGCCAGTGATCAGTGAGGACTTATTTCTGTGTTCATATAAAGAGACTTCAGACCACGTTCTCCCCACTCCCTGCCAAAAAGTACCATTTGTAAGTATGAAAAGAGCAGTTTGCCGCTTCTTTAGGCTGTATACAGCAAAAGCATTTGGCCAAAGGGCCAAAAGGTTTCACAAGAGACTACTGGGTACCATGAAGAATTGCTAATAGAGAAGATGTGAAGTTGTAAATATGTCTTTTGCAGGAGCAGAAAGTTGGAAAAATAGGTTTGGGAGGGGAGGACCCCGTAATTGGAATTACAAATATGTAATGGTGTAAGGTTAGCGTTGAAGAACAGCCACACTGCAGCTGAATGGCAGGGCATTGTGTGTGGTGTAATGTTCTGGACTTTCCTTAAAAGGCGCAAAGCTGCTGACTCTGCCCGGGGCTTCTTGTTCTCCTCCTCCCTGCTCATCATGTGTCCCTGTTCTGTTCTCTTCTGTCTCTGCAGAAAGTGATGCTTCCTACAGGCGCTGCATTCCGGTGGTTTCAGTAGGAACAAGAATCCCAAAGCTCTGTCATCCAGTGCAATGTCACTGCTTGCTTGTGTTGTCTCAGGCAAGGCCTTTTTTGGGCGGAAATGAATGGATGCGCCTGTGTCTCCTTTAGAACCAAAAAAATTTTCTCGCAGATTTCATTCCTGTTTTTATAATTTTTTTGGCATTTGTTTTAACATCTTCGAGTACTAGTAAAAAACAAACATTAACTGCTTTTCAAATAATTTTTTTAAAAGAATCCATAAAGTAACAAGACATTATAGAGTATGGACAATCAATTTATTTTCCTGTGTTTTGGTGTTGATGTTGTTTATGTGTGGAAGATGCAGTTTTTGTGTAGAGAATGTAAATTTACAGTAACCTTTTAAATCTAGTTACTAATAAGCACTACTGTAATTAGCACAGCTGTTTATTCATTCATATTTTTGTTTGATTAATTTCCATCATTAAAGAAAAATAGTGTGGCTAGTTTCTAGAATCGCTCAACTTAATGTTTATAAATGAGAATATGTTTAAAATAAGGTAGTTTCCCTTTCCCTAACATACACATAAGATTAAGGTTTAATCAGCAAAATGTTTGGTATGAAAAAGTGGAAATGTACTGCAAAACTGGCAAGTTTTTAAAGCAAAGCAAAATAATAATTAAGTTTAGACCAAGAAGAACTGCACACTAGAATAAACCTGGAATTAACTGCAATTATTCTCTTTTAGAAAAACATTACTGGAATTCAGATATAAAGCTATTGCAGAACCCCTGTTGGAAACATATATGAGTCTTTTTCTTCTGTTCAAAGCCCTTGTTTCCCTGCTTTCTGACCATCACTAACTGAAAGGCTGTTTGTAATGTTCTAGCGATTCAGGCTGTTTTGTGAATAAAAATGAAAGCATGTTTTGTGTCATGGTTTACATTTCCATTATTCTGTCTGTTTTGGTTGCATGCAGGGGGGCTTTGTTTGTTTATGTTTTGATTGCCATGGGGGGCAATACTAAGGCAAAACAAAAATGGCCTCTTTTAGGTATGTTGGGTTTCCTCCACACACACAGTATTTTCAAGTGTTTGCCATTCAGGTGGTTTAAATTAAGGCAGCTGGTTATTTTTAAGGCTGCAACTCTAACCTTACTGTAAAGGTAAAGGGACCCCTGACCATTAGGTCCAGTCATGACTGACTCTGGAGTTGCGGCGCTCATCTTGCTGGGAGTAAACTCCCTTGAATGCAGTAGGATTTACTTCCAGGCAGGCGTGATAGTATGATCTCCCAAGTCATATGGAGAGCAGATCCATTGATTTTATTGGGTGTGCTCTGAAAAGTACTGACATTAGAGATCAAGCCAAGGGTTCTTGTTTGTTCATGTTTTCTTTTTAAATAACTCCCCCCCCCAAGAAATGAAACAACGAGACCTTTCTCTTTGTAAGCAGCATTGTGTTACTAGCCAGCTGAACATGTTCTGCAAATATATGGGTATGGGATCTGGGTTTATTTATCAACCCAAACAAACATCTGATTAAGTCAAAAGGTCATCAATTTTCAGAACAATTAGAAATCAACATAGCATTCATGTTTCCAAATTTATAGGGATATTATCTGTCATAGGCCACCGAATCGTTTTTGCCTTAAGCAAATGAGCTGCAAGTGGCTCTAGAGCAGAGGTAGCCAACATTGTGCCCTTCAGATGTTGTTGGACTACAATCCCATCAGCTCCAGCCACCTTGGCCAGTGGTCAAGGATGATGAAAGTCAATGGAACTTCCATCATCTTTAGCCATGTTTGGGGGAGGGGTCTGATGGGAACTATAGTACTACAACATCTGAAGTGCACCGTGTTGGCTACCCCAGCTTCAGGGGGTTATACACAATTGTTTCCCTCCATATATGGAAAGCTCACTGATCCTTTGGAGGCTTCCATTCATTTTCACTGAATTCCCCTTTCTCCCACAGCTCCCCAGGCCACCTCCCATGCTTTCCCAAAGTGTCTCTCTCTCTCCCTCCCCACACCTCTCCAGAGAAGATGGGAAGGGGTGTGCAGAGGACAAATTTTTTTTTTGTCAACAAAGACACACAAATGGATGCAGCCCAGAAGAAATTAAATATTGGTTTATTTAGGGCTGCCAGTTACTGCAAACAAGGAGCAGGATTTGGAAATAGTCTTTCTCGCATAGCTGCTGTCACTGAGTTCCTTGATATCTTGGGCTTACCTCTGTTTTGCATAAGGCAAGATAATCTCATTAACATAAAACAGTAAAAACACTTTTGTCAATAAAAATATTAGGTGAATGCTTAAGAGAGGGTTTATTTTATTTCTTAAGTGACTACACCAAGGAAGCAAACTTGTTCCGATATTGCTATTCAGTCGCTGCAAATATATTGTGAATTCATGCAATTCAAGGAAATCAAAAGTATAAATTGATTTGGAAACATAAGGATGGAAGAAGGCAAATTCTGTATCCCAGGACCACCAAGAATACGCCATACTTTGAGCTATTGCACCACTTGCACTTTCCTCTTGCTTCATGGTCTTAGAGAAACAAGTTGTAATTTACTACTAGCAACACAAAATAAGCAAATAACAAGGAAAACCGAATTCCAGGTGAGCATGGACTAGGTTCCTTCCAACCCTGCTTGCCACAAACCACTTCGTTTGACTCAACTGGACATCCCACCATCCTGTGGAAGTACTGTACCTCAAAAACAAAATGTGGACTTAAAGCCACGAAGATCGGTTGGGCAGGGGGGCAGCAGAAATATGTGGTGAATTTTTGGAAGTCTGTTGCTTCCTGGGGTCTGCTGGTGCCAGGATTAGCAAAAGACAGAATATGTTACGAAGCAAAGGCATGCAGCTTTCAGAATTCTCATTTTCTTGACACAGAATTTGTAGTGCCTTAAGTGCATGTATTTTTAGTGCATGTAGTTTGTATTTTTTTACCACAGAAATGCACATCTCTGTTAGGTACAGAGTTGATCAGGATCATAAACTTTAAAGGAATAGGTACTCTCTTAGAGGTCTTGCAATGTCATAGAAAATAAGCAGCGTTTCTGATCACACAATGGACATCCTGGAACACTGCAGATGAGAGAGATGTTCTATAATCGGGAAAACCACAGCACACAGCTTTCAGACACAATGGGCAAGCAGACATCTCCGTAATCCTAGACCTGCAACTGTTTAGAACAGGCAAGATAACATTGCAGCCTCTGAATAAGATGATGGTAGAATGTGGCTGGTGGCATTAGAGAGGCAGCTGGGTGGCCAAACCTCGACCCACAGATTTCTGTTTTAATAGCAGATAAACTACAGTGGTGTGAGCAGCTTTTCATGCCACAGAGAGAACAGTTGCGTTTCTGTGATGCCTTCACAGACGTTGCCACAGCTTGTTTGGAATGCTTGTAATGCAACGTTTTGGGTTTCCAAAGCAGACTAAAATTCAGTTACCCATTCTATACCCACACCATCCTGAAAATGTATCCTCCTCTTAAAAACTCTACAAAATGATGCTGGAAAGGAATTCCAAATTGCATTGAGCACTCGTCGTAGATAGAAATTGCTGACTTCTCAGCAATATTCCATGGAATCTGTAATGAAGAGTAGTGTATAAATCTTTACAAAATATATTTGCTGGCAATGCTCATAGTGTTCTCTGCTAAACAATTATGGGGGAAATGTTTCCTACTCAGAAGTCAGTGCTGACACAGTTTATACCACCACTTCCTTCCTGTGCTAGGCCTACACACTCAACTAATGCAAATTCGGCCCAAGAGCATGTTTCAATTTACTATCATCATCATTTAAATTTGTGTTTAAATTCTTGTCCGATGCTTACCACACTGGAAACCTGCTTTACACCAGTTCAGACTATTTGCTCATCTAACTGCTCCAGGGACTCAGGCAGAGGCCTCTCATGACACAGGCTACCTGAATCTTTTAACTGGTAACCTTAGATCAGCCTTTCCCATAGTGGACGCTACTGCCCCCTGAGGGACTCTGGAATGATCTAGAGGGGCAGCAGTAGCCTCAGGTTCAGTTGGGGGGCGTTGAATAAAAAGAAGGGGGCGGGAGAAGCATAAAGAAGAGAAGAGAAGAGAAGAAAATTTCGAAAAACCGTTCATACACGTTCCTCTGTTGTATAATGACGTCGACTGCCAGGTTGGGCACTGCTGCAGGACAACGACAAGGCCTCCCCTGGATCCAGTGGTCCTGCTGGAGGCAAGGGGTTTTCCTGGGCTTGGGTGAACCCTGTGTGTAATGCAAATGTTACTATGGTTGATTTTAATAAATAAGTTCAAAATTCCAAGCTTCAAGGTGTCATATTTACAACAACATTTTCTTTATTATGTTGTAGGATGTAGGTACAAACAGAGATCCATAAAAGAATGCAAATTTGTCACAGCATCTTTCTGTTTGTTCACTTAAAGAAGGTAGATTTCCAGGGGGTGCAAAGTAAAAAAAAAAATTGGGAAAAGGGGCCAAATAAGTTTGCGAAGCTCTGCCCTAGAAGAATGAACCTAGGACTTTCTGGATGAAAAGCAGCAGCTGTAACATTGAGCTGCAGCCTCTAGTCACTACTCAAAACCTGGATGCATGTTAAGGAGAGTTAACATCCCTGGCAAAATATGTGGCGCTTGATGCTTCTCCCTTTCATCTTGGGAGAATCAACAGCAGGGCTGGGTGTTCAACTGGGGGCTTATTGCTGTTGCTGCTTTGTTATTATTTACGTAGGCTCTGGAATGATTGACAGGCATGGCTGCCATTTAGTTAATTCATTGATTAATGTAACTTAATGCCTACGCAGTCTGTCCAGCAAGCCCTCTGGCAGCTGGGATTCTGAAATGACAAGACATCCATACAAGCCCCACTAAAATCACAAATGTATTTGGTGTTCTATGGCTATGACGCTTACTTAGGGACTTTACTTGACTCAAGCACTTGAGGAATCCCTGCAACAAAGCGTTCAGTTCCTGCTTGAAAGAGAGGTTGGCTATGGGATTCTGCAAGCAAGTCCCAGGGCCAGTTTTGCTGTGCTACACAGAGCAATAAACTCACGGAGACAAGAAATCATAAAGATGTCACAAGTGGTGGCATTTGTATGGAAGGTGCAGAGTGAATCTTTTGTTGCATAATCCATGGAAATCAGACAGTATCTTCTACTGTAACAAAAATAAAAAATATGCCATGTCCCTACTAGTGGCTTGCCATGATGGGAGCAGTGGCTATTTCCCCATAGTCCCTGAAAGTGTAATGTACTCTCAGCAATTCAGGGATGAAATGCAGTATGTGCTCAAGTGTTGTCAATTCCAGAGGTGACATTCCAAAGCCAAGCCAATTTTCATGGGTGCTCTTATCTTTCTCAAACAGCTCAAACTGGCCTAGCCAAGAGAGTAAAAATTTGCCATATTGGGGAAGGGATTTCTCCTCGCAGCGGCTATCCACTTCTGCTCCTCACATCCAGCCAGCACACTCTTTGAGTACACAGCATCATGAATGTATTACTACTAGTTTAATGGCAAAATTAAGTCATAGCTGTCAACCGTCCCTTATTTGGCGGGAAAGTCCCTTATCCCAGCACCGTGTTCCGCTGCTGTCCCTTATTGATGATGTCCCTTAAATTTCCCAGGATTCAAAGGAAGCAGCTCCTCTCCCCCCCCTCCCTGCCGGCCAGGGAGGAGGGAGGCTCCAACTGTGTTGCTTGGCTGCATTGCTCACCCAATAAGGAGTCTAAGAACGACTGGGGGGGTGGAGCTTGCATGCCTTGTGCCGATCAAATTGGCCTCATTGCCTGGGGACTCGCCTTTGCTCAGCGCTTCCCAGCGGAGAGGTGACGGTGGTTTTCCTTGCTGCATCCCCTTTGTCGGATTGCTGCGCTATGGGAATCACCACTTGAGGCTTTGTTTGGCTGCTGGTTG